CCCCCCATGGCTCAAACAAACCAAAGGAAGGCAGTCTAATCTGGTGTGAACACATGGGGAGAGACTTGAAAGAGTATTGGAAGAGGCCACCAAACAGAGGAGACAAAGTATTGCACGAAGAATTGAGTCTGAAACCAAACCCTAAACCACCACTCTCTGATCAATGGATGACCAGATTCAATGAATGAAGTGTTTACTGATGGATGTCGTCCATGGCGGATGCTGAGTCACCACCATACAGGCTTTGTGGGCTTGCTCTGAATTTCCAGCACTTCCATCCACATCCATTCATTCGCTGTGAGATGGGTACTTTCATCCAACCCCACCAGGAAGATGAAGGAAGCAACACCTTTGATCATGAATCCCACTCACATATGTTGGCAGTTACAAATAATAATAATAATAATAATAAATAAAATTTTCACATTTTTATCCATTCTGAAAAATTTTACGAACATACTAACCATAATGAGTTTAGTGGATTTAATATGGCATTTTGTGAAATTCTTTGCTTCTTTTATAGGTTTTGATCCTTTCTATTCTTTCATTCATTTCTTGAAAAACATATTCACTTTTGAAAGTGAAATTTTAAGTAATTTGTTCAAAGTGTGTATGATGGTGACTAACATGATGGTCATAAATTCTTGCCTTACAACATTATATTTTTCTATTTTTCTAATTTTTTTTTTTTTTTCTAAATTCTTCCAAATAACTAAATCTCAATCAGGCATACAAGAAACCCAAAACTTTCAATAATTAGCTTAAAATGTTTTAAAAGCACGAGAATGAAAACATGAGATTATAGATTATATGTGAAGAGCATTTAATAAAAACTCTCCCTCTCTATGTACCTTAATTAATTTTTCAATTTATCTTTTCTCCAAAAAATTGTTAGCACCAAAATACTACATTTTTTTCCCTTTCTTTCATTTGTAAATGAAAAAATTATAAATAATTTAACTTCATATTTTTATTTACAGATCTCATAAAAAAAATCATTATTAAAAAAATGATCATGCAATATATATATATATACATTTTTTAAAGTTTGCCATTTTCTATGTGTACATTTTCATGTATCAACCTTCAGTGTACTGCAGCGTGTTAGAGATTGTGCGCTTTTTACTTCAAAGTTGATAGTTTTCAATTTTGTGTAGGTTTGTGCACGTGTTTCTTTCATTCTTTCTTTGTATTGAGAGATATGTGCGTGTGAATATAATTATATAGACACAAAATTTTAAATAATAAAATCAACAATGTATTTTTTACATTAAATATAAGTTACTAGTCACAACATGTGAGCTTAGATCTAAAATGCAACAACCGGTCAACATTGTTACTTGAACGTGAATAAGAACAATAACTTATATATAAATAACGCAATTTCCTTCAACAATAAGTAAAACAACTCGAGACACATTTAAAAAATTTAAAAATTTAATCAATATAATTTACTTATAATCATATTCTTACAGTGTCATATTCTAATTTTTTTTAACACAATAAAACTGATTCTGACTACAAAATGTAACCCATTATTAACATCAAGTATTTTGTATCATGTATATCTAAATAATCATCCTTAAATTATTAAATTTATCTCTGTGATATTTTATTTGCTACATTAAGAAGGCATTTTTAAAACCCACCCAGTAGCAAAAATGCAAAGCATACATTAAGATCCATTATTTATCAGGGTATATTGATTGGATTCAATACATCCATCAAGTTTATTACAAGTGGTGATTGATATTACATGGAATATTTTATTTTAAATGGAATATAGTAATAATAAAAATTGATCTCAAATTTACCTGATGATAATATAATGAACCAAAGAAACCAATTTTTTTATTTATTAAACACTTATCATTCTTTAAAAATTAATTTGTGTAGACATTTATGCATTTCAAAATTAGTAATTCCATAAAAATTTGGTACTAACCATAATAACTTTGACATTGCACAATACCTTTATTTATTTGTTAACTTTAATTTCTTTTGCAACAAGATTTTTAAAAATCTTGAAAAAAAGTTATGACAACTGAACAATAACCCTTTGGATACTAAAAATAATAACCATAATATAAATGAAATAGATTACACAATAAAATTTGGGGAATAGAATCAAAATAAAAAAATGGTTCCATACCACATGTTATTTGTAAAGTTTTACTATATCTTCACTTATAATTTATACCATTATTTATTATGACAACTAAAATTCATAATATATTTATATAAATAATTTTATTATTTTATAAGTAAAATTTATATATATAAATATTTTACAATATTTTATTTTTTGAAAAAAGAGAATATATATATTATCAGATAAGTAGTGTAAAATTGTAGCAAAAAATATATAAATAGAAAACAATTAGCTTTCATTCATGTATATGTGTATATATATATATATATATATATATATGTGTGTGTGTGTGTGTGTGTGCATGTACGTATTTCCTGTTTAATAGGTTTTTATTCATAAAGAATTCAACGTGAGAATATGATAGAATCATAAATTATCCCAAGTGCTCTTGCTTGATATATTTTCGTGTGTTTGTAAAATAAAATACTGATTGGATACTTAATATCAAAGCACCTCATTCCATTCAACTGTTTTTTTAATACAATAACATTGAAACTTTCACTAAATTATATATATATATATATATATATATATCTCATAAGAAAAAGGTATTTACACATTAGACTTTTCTGAACCCATTTTAATCTGAGAATAGTCTTGTAACAAATCAAATTTTTCAAATTCAATTGTCAACAATATCAATTCATAGCATTTTTCACTAGTGAGCTATGATGTTTCAATCTTGATCACTCAGTATATTAAATTTGCATGCTGTTATGATGAGTTATACCAAACCCAATGGAAACTAACCATACTGTTAAGGATTTTTGAGGATTTGTTTTATTATACATCATTATGTCAAACTAAAATCTGTAAAAAATGCTCCAATCTTTTTTGATATTACAGAATAGTGTTTAGAAATCCCAATTTCATCAATTTGGACAAATTTATAACATTATTAAAACTATTATGATAATTTTTACAATACAATAAAGTACTACTTCAACTTACACAATTCACAAATTTGACAAATTTAGTGCATAAGTATACAAGATTTCTATTAAAAAAAAGAGGATAATTTATAATTACACGATATGTGTGGTTGCATGGTAAAGTGGTATATTTTATAATTTACTAAATTTTGAAGAGTATTTTACATCAATGTTCACAAGTTTTATTTATAAAATGGGGCTGAAGCACATGAAATAAAATATCTTTAACTTTAAGAAAAATTAAATCAGCTCAATTATTTTCTTATTCATAAATTGTTATTATTATTTTGAATGATTAGAAATGTAGGTAGAGTAAAGACGATTTGAAAATCACTTAAATGTGGGATAGTGGATTTTTTTACTTTTTGCATTAACATGTTTATTAAATGTTCAATTTCACAATGAAATTGGTGGACAATGAAAAATATTTTCAAGTGCAAGAAATAAAATATATGTAAAGTCTTCTTTCTTCTCCACACTCCCTTGTATAACGAATGGATGGATATATTTATATATATGCACACACATACACTCTCTCTCAAGCAGTTGCACGATACAAAGATTGACAAAATTAATCAAACTATCTAGAAAAATCAATATATTGCAAAATTTAGTAGAGTACACATGTACATATGTTCATAAACAACAGGTTGCCGTACCATTTAAAGTATAAATTAATAATCTTTAGAAATTGTGTTGGTAATGTTAATCCTATGCTATGCAGCAGGTACTTAGATTTATTTTATTATACTTTTTTTCAATCGGAAAATATAATTTAAAAAACTTTAAAATTCCATTAATGCAAAAAGAGCATCACCCGAGAATTCCTTACATAAATTACAAAAGGAATGTTCACACAAATTTTAATAGTAATATTTTTATCATCATCCTCAATGATGATTTTTAACAATATGATTACGAAGTTGAATGTACAAGAATTAATATGCTTGAAATGGACATGAGTTTCCACAAGCATGAAAGTGTAGTAGTATTGAAGTGAGCATTAGTAGTGTGTGTGTGTGTTGGTTAATAATAGTAATAATGATGCATGAGAAGGTAAGGAAATGCTAACCGTCCATTTCTGCAAGGAAAAGAGAAAGCTTGAAGGAAGAGAATTGTGGGAGGGGGATGGGGGTGAAGGCTTGCAGAGCGAGAGAGAGAGAGAGCACCACATAGGACTGGACAGGACCGGACCAGACAGGACAGTTGTGAGTATAATAAGTATATGGCATTCATGTATGTAATCCATCCATCCACCCTCTTATTCATTCATTCATTCTTTCATTCATTCTTGCATTTATAAATCTTCTTCTGCTTCTTCTTCTTGTCCCCCTCTCTCTCTCTCTCTTTGTCTCCAAGTGATAAACCATTCCTACACAATTCCATCCCTAAATGGAAATGAATGCAGAGCAACAGAGCGTGAGAGAGAGAGAGAGCCCCAAATCAAAAAGGGGGCTTGGGGGGGGGGGAGAGAGAGAGAGCAGTGACGGCGCCCGAAAGATGCACAGGGGGCAGGGCAGCAGGCACGCGACCAAGAGAGAGACCCTGGTGGGGGGGCAGAGGCAGAGGCAGGGGGAGGAGGGGGCACCGCCATGTGTCCACCGCCTAGCAGCAGCAGCAGCAGCAGGGACTGACTCTCTCTCTCTCTGGCACCACACCCTCCCACCTCAGCGCAGGCAGCCAGGCGAGCCAGCAACCCAATTCCGTCCCCCTCTTCAACTTCCCTGTTTTGTTCCCATGACCGTGCCCGATCCCTGCCCCCCTGCCCCACCCCCCCGGCCTATTTGCGCACCGGCCCCGTCCTCGTGCCGGGCCTGTGCTGCGAGTTCGTTACTCCCCGTCACGCGCGGGCGGACCAACGGAGCAGGTTCCCTCCCCTCCACCCCGACGACGACGACGAACTTATGGCTGCCTGCGTTGATTTTGGGGGCGTCTTTGTTGGCGCGTCTTGCCGTTCATTTTGAACCCTGCCCCTTCCATGGATGCTGTCTTCCCCTTTCCCCTCCCCTCCCCCCTCACCGCTCTGACTAACTTTGTGCGCCCCCTCCCTGCCTGTGCCAATTGAGGGTTGCAACAGCCTTGGTCTCGATTGCTCAGCCCCTGCTTGCATCGGTGCGGAGAGATTGTTCTTGTGAAGGGAGCTTGTGCGAGGTGAAAGGGTGTGGTGCCTGTTTCTAGCGGGTTTCGATTAGGCGGTCTGCAGTCTAACGCAGTGCGCGATTGCATTTGCTGCGACCTCCTTAAGGGGTTTGCGTCTGAGAGGGCGTGTGAAATGTTTTGGGGAGATTTTCTGGGGAAGATGCCAGAGCAGGGCATATTTGAGGGATTACATTGGTGGCCACAGATATATCAGGGGAAGGTGTGTTAGAGGGGAGAGGACGCGCCCGGGGTGTAGTTGGACATGAGCTGTGGAGAGGAAGCAGAGGGCTGTGGGGATGGTGATGGTGGGAGAGTGATTAGAGAGGATGCCGGAAGTAAGAGTTGATGTTGTCAGTTTTTATATGACGTGGGTGCGGCTGGAAGTATTAGCTTCGGACTGGTGGTAGTGCAAGGTTTTTCTCTCTGAACTGGCTGATTTTATGCATTTGACATTTTTTTTTACACTACATTCTTCACTTACATTTGCCCCCACCATTGCCTACCAATATGTAGAGATGGCTTTTGATGGCGTATTTGACGTGACCTTTACACGCACCTTAGTTTCGTGCCTCCATGCCGATGTAGCGTTAATCCTGAATGAGCGTTTTTGGATCAGTCTAGCGACATTCTGGTCGAGGGAGTCGCCTTCTTTGTAGTGTTGAATTGAGGGCGTCGATGGTACATCGTTCACAAGTTACACTGTGGCTGATAGCGTATCGTGGCTGCAGTGTGCTTGCTGTAACGAAAGTGCAGCTTCTCTTCCAAGTTAACTATTAGACAGTTACGTCTTAAAACTTCTGCTGGGTTACACAGACGTTCTTGAGTGCATACATTGGTTGGGAATTTTCCTTCCTGTTTTGGTAATTGCGGCACTCCGTTCAAGTTGTTATGGGTTTGAATGTGAAAAGATGAATATATATATATATATATATATATATATATATGTTGCAAGCCGTGCTATGGCTTAGGTATATTCAGGTGTTCGCGATGGTTGACCCGGTTTCTAGTTGTTTCTGTGATACTTCTGAAGTGGTACATTTAGTCATCTACCAAAAGCGATGATCTGCGAGTGGGAACATTGCTTATCTTGCTTGTTCCCCGTTCAGTGTGGATGAGTCAAGACTGTTCATTGTGAGCATTAGTACCAATTTACACCTTTGTTCTCGTGCTTCAGGACAACAGTGCTTAAATCGACCATATTGGAATAGCTACAGCATTATCCTTTAGATTTCTGGTTCTTTCATCCCTTAGCTTAGCCTGAATGCGAGCGTTGCGCTTGAAACGGACGTGCCTTTTTGCCGAGAGCATTCATGTTATTGATTAAAAATATACAGATGTGATTCGGAGACTTCTCGGTCATAAATTTTTTCGTCTTCTCAAGAAGATTGTGTTGGAATGGGCAATTTAAATCTGTCCAACTCTTCTGGACAGATCATGTTCGTGGAGTTGGAAATTAGTACGAAATACGGTCGTCTCATTCACTGTTGGTATTGTTATATTAGGTATCCAGGATGATGCGGAAAAGAGCAAGCTTGAAAGGGATTTATAGAATCTTCCTTCATAGTCTCTCAATATGCCTCTTACTGTGATCGTTGATCCCACTTCTACCTTTTGCGAGAATCTTATGCGTCTATTTTATGAAAGTATTAGGGACTCTGGTATGAAGACCATATACAATCGTCTTTACTGGCAGGGTCGGTGGGATTGTTTTCCATAGAATTAGTTTCACCTTCGTAGATGTATTTATATTTCACACTGGTTTTTATGCTGGTCTGAATGCTCCAGAATAACATTAAGCTATTTCTGAGCGATTGTAGCAATTTTTACCAGTGATTTTCTTATGATTTTGGAGAATTGTGAAATCTGAGGCTGTCGTCTTGTCTTTTGTGTTCTTACAGAGAACGACTCCCAGATTGTGGATAGGGACCACTGTAGTTACATGCAGCTAGTATATGCTGCACTAAATATGTAAAAGTTGATCACAAACTAGCAAAGAGATTTTGAAATTGAGAAGGAAATCCGGGCCCAACGTCTGGGCCTAGCGTGCCTTGTATGGCATCTGCTACTGCCGCTGCTGTTAGTGGCACAAATATGATAGGAGGTGGAAGAGCGGCTCCAACTAAAGCAGGTTCTAGTGGCGTGGAGTTATTACCCAAAGAGATGCACGAGATGAAGCTAAGGGATGATAAGGTTGACCACGGCGATGATAAGGTCAGTACTTGCTTGTGATTTGAAGGAATGCAGCCAAACATGTTGAAATAAAAGTTCTTGTCGCCTTTGCTGGACTTTAGTTTAGTGATCGATCGTTCGATTATTGTTTTATTATGTCATACCTAGCCCGGGTTTCATAGATTTTGATAATTACATGCAGGAGATTGAAGCAACAGTAGTTGATGGAAATGGCACCGAGACAGGCCACATCATAGCTACCACTATTGGAGGACGCAATGGCCAACCGAAGCAGGTAGGATAGTGAGGCTCTGCTATCAGAATATTCATTACAGGAGCAACTTGCCGCGCCAAAACCGCGTCTAATGAATACCCTTAAGATATTTGGCCATGACGCAATACCGTATTTAAGAGTTCGCGAATCAACTCGTGGATCCTCTTTACATACTTTTTAGTGTACCCAAAACCAAATTGCTGTTGTGCTAAATCTCATGTGTAATTCTTGCATCATACTCTAAATTGCATTTAAACCTTACCCAGCTATAGCTACATTACAAGGATTCCTATGTGAACCCGTACATTCATATTTGTAGAGGTTTGCAGTCTGGAAGGACTTGATGGCATCCTTCGTGTGATAACTAAACCGGAGGTTAACTGGCCTTATGGATGGTTTAATTGGATGAATTGGATGAATTGTGTAGACCATCAGTTACTCGGCGGAACGTGTTGTAGGTACAGGATCGTTTGGGATCGTGTTTCAGGTAATTGGGATTCTTCAGTACCTCGAATATGACATCTGGATAGTTTGTGAACTGGTCATGTTCCGCACAACAGTATTCTGATCAGAAGCGACTCAATGCTGTCTTGAAAATATCGTCCTTCACACTTAAGGTAGTTTGCATGAGATAGAACCTTGTAACCATAGTTTGTACTGTAGTGGTGAAACATGGGATACATCTGTTTGTGGGACACTCATGGTGATAGAACTAATACATATTCTCATGACTGCGGTGACTCCTGTTGTCAGGCTAAATGCATTGAGAGCGGGGAGACGGTGGCCATAAAGAAGGTGCTCCAAGACAAGAGATACAAGAATCGAGAGCTCCAGATCATGAGGCTATTGGATCATCCTAATATTGTAGCTCTGAAGCACTGCTTCTTTTCTACAACTGAGAAGGATGAGCTGTATTTGAACTTGGTTCTGGAGTACGTCCCGGAGACGGTTTATCGTATTGCAAAGCACTACAATCGTATGAACCAGAGAATGCCGCTGGTTTATGTGAAGCTGTACACTTATCAGATATGCCGGTCACTGGCGTACATTCACAGCGGCATTGGAGTATGCCATCGTGATATCAAGCCCCAGAACCTGCTGGTAATATTGTGTTGTGAGTATTAGTATGTAAATATGGTCGACTCGAGCACAGTTTAAGACCGACAGTTGTGGTATTATTGAGGTGGATGAGGTTTGATTGTATGAGCATCGAGGAGTTGTCAAGGTGTGGAAGTGTGGTGATGAAGAGGTTGGTTTGTGTGGTGCAGGTGAATCCCCACACGCATCAGCTAAAGCTATGCGACTTTGGAAGTGCGAAAGTTTTGGTGAGATGTGATGAAATGTTTGTGATTTGTGGTTTTTTCCTTTCACAAGGTCATGCAGTTCATAGAGAGATAGAAGGGCTCCAGTTGAGATTTTTTTTTTATTTGTAATAATCAGGTCTACTAGAAGAGTCTGCAGTGGTTGCTCATAATATGGAAATTGTCTCGTGCGGTATTCAGTTGAATGCGTGGGTGCAGCATTGATCATAGTGAGATTTGAGTTGTGCAGGTGAAAGGGGAGCCTAATATTTCGTACATTTGTTCACGATATTACCGTGCTCCCGAGCTGATATTTGGAGCTACAGAATACACAACTGCGATTGACATATGGTCGATGGGTTGCGTGATGGCGGAACTTCTCCTAGGACAGGTACTTATGTAGTTCCTGGTAGATGGTGAATTCATGGAGATTCTATTACTCCTGAGTACTATGGTTCGGAATGGAGATAGATCATTGTGTTGATTGTAATGAGATGTAAGTGGTTGGTGAAGTGATCATTGTTGGTTTAGTTAGATGATATGAATTCTGTCTGGACAATTTCGATGTTGGTGCAGCCTTTGTTCCCTGGAGAAAGCGGAGTTGATCAATTGGTGGAGATCATCAAGGTATGTTATACATGGTAGAGTGGAAGCATATGGAGCTGAAGTCGTTTGTACTGATGTTTGATGTGTATCGATTAAAAGTATTGTATTATATTTAAAGATGTTAGCTGCTCTTGTTGCTTCGGGTGGTGTTGCGGTGATAGCGCAAGAGTGATACTGTAGAGCTTATGAGTAGGCGGATGGTGATGTTGACAGGTGTTAGGGACACCTACACGTGAGGAGATAAAGTGCATGAATCCGAACTACACGGAGTTCAAGTTTCCTCAAATTAAGGCTCACCCGTGGCACAAGGTATGGTTTGTATGTTTGGGTTAGCTATTTTTAGTGGTCTATTATATAATTTGATAGGAATTATCCGTGTCCTCGATATTGGTGATTTTGAATTTGGTTGGTTGGACGCTGCTACTCGTTGTGATTGGGAGAATGGAGCGTGTTGCATTGACCTTAGCAACGTGCGAATTGATTGGTTCTGTGGTGGCAGGTTTTCCACAAACGCATGCCTTCAGAAGCAGTGGACCTGGTTTCAAGACTGCTACAGTACTCCCCAAATCTGCGGTGCAACGCTGTGAGTAATAATGGGTTTTCCTGTTGCAGAGGGTCCGTTCGAAGATGCAGGCCATTGCTTCAAGTGTCGGCTGTTGTATCCGGCATTGATTGATGGCATTGGATCTTGATTTGTTTGACAGGATTTTGAATATTGGTTCGTTGTGACGGTAGGTTATATGTGAAAGAATTGTCTGTAAGTACGTTTGTACGTTAACTGACTGGTTATGAGAGTTATGCAGTTGGAAGCTTGCGTGCATCCGTTTTTTGACGAGCTTCGGGACCTCAACTGCCGTTTACCAAATGGGCGGCCACTTCCCCCGTTGTTCAACTTCAAACCTCAAGGTGTGACGTTATGTCTTATTGCTGGTCTTGCGTCTCTTGACGTTGGACTGTTTCAGGTTGTGTTCTTTATGTTTGGATTTGGTGTGCGCTTTTGTGGAGAATTTGAGATTGCAGGTATGGAGGCATTGGAATTCGTTGATTACAGCAATTCTTATTAAGCACTATTTGAGGTTTGATGTACGTATGGACGCTGTGATTGTGCAGAGTTGAAAGGTGCTACTCCTGAGATTCTGCAACGGTTGATACCTGAGCATGCAAGGAAGCAAAACCCGATGCTCGCGTTGTAAGCGCTGGTTTGGAGGCAATTGAAAGGCCTTGTTTTTAAGGGGTTTCCCTGCTTAGAGAACCGGGCAACTATGTGCACAGACATAGTTGAAATTGCGTCTTTTCTGGTTTGATAGCATTCGGTGCCCAGTCTGATTAGGTCCCCTGCTTTTCATACGCTGTGTAAGGGAGACAGAGTAGACTTTAAGCATGTCGCTGTTACGGACAGGTAAATATGGGAGAGTACAGTGTGCATGCATGTCTATGCCAGGTGCGCATGTAAGTGTATCCTAATGTTTCTGGGAGTGCATTGAGGTGCGCGGCAATTGGAAGGGTAAGGAGCGGAGATATTAGGTGTAGAGAGGCTCAGTCGGGCTGTTACATATAGGGGCCCGGCTGGTGCTAGAAGTTAGCGAGTTAAACGGAACGTTGTTATTTAGGAGCAGAAGTAGAATGTAATTTGGGTAGAAGATGGAAGTTCGAAATGTGATTTTATCATCCGGATATTTGTATACTCTGCTTGGGTGGAGAATGCCCTATGTGTACTCCTAAAATCCTCCACTGGGTGGTCTCCCAGATGGTGCTTAAGGAATGGGCCTCCTGCAAAGCTTCTCCTCATCCTAGCTCCTCGAGCGGCTCACTGTGGTCGTCATGAGTAAATTCCCCCACTTGAGTAGCAAGTTGCGAGCACTTGGTGGGTGAGCCAAACTTACATTGGATCGTCCACCTTCGCCTGCATTGCCTACCTCATACTCCACAATTGAAAAACGTTACGTAATATTGCAAATTAGAGCAATGCTCTTGGAGTATGAAGAAGGTAATTTAATAGATAGTATGTTTTTCATTATCCATCACTTAATCATGTTCCAACATTCCTTTTCTACATTGTCTCTTATCACTCTTATCATATGCTTGGATCATTTTGAACAGTCGTGTGCAGTAAGACCTTGAGTCCTTGTACCCCCCTAGACAGAGCCACTGGAGATCTGTCTTCACAATGGCACCTTCTTGGAGCCAATGAGAGGTGAGGGAAGAGTTGAACAAGAAAAACTCCAATCTCTACAATATTGCATATTAGAGTTATGGGAGAATTTCAAAAGCTTTTGGGGTAGGATAGTCATGAATTTAGGAGGTGGTGAGGAGAGTAGATTTATGAAGGGGTCATGTTGAGAATGCTCTTTGCAAAGGTCATTTGCATAAAATTACAAGGTTGTGAAGAGGAGAGTAGAAGAGGTGATAGATGAGGATCCTAGGTTATCTTTGTAAGAGATTGCAAGAGATTGCAAGAGCAACATATTGGGCTCTCTCTCTCTCTTAAGCATTTGAACGATTTTTTTTTTTTTTTTTTTTTACTATTGGTTTATGCTTGAAGGTGTTGTGATTGAAATCCCATGGGAAGTCAAGTCAAAAAGAAAAATGTAGAAAATTTGCTTATAGACATTGTGAGTGGAATTTGCAACAATAGGTTTAGGTTTGTTTTATTGATGAGGCTATTATAATCCATGATTTGTGTCTTGCAAGGAAGAAGGTTTATATGTGTCAAGGTGAGGAACTACATGAAAAGAATTTGAGACCTAGTTTTAAGTTAGATATAACAAATGTTGGAGTTTTTACATGCATTGCAAAATAAGACCATTTAGGTTAGTTTTAATGAAGAGGAAAACAAAAAGAGAGTGTATTATTCCTTATAATAGACTTAGTTTCAATGCTATGCAATTTGCTTGAGAATTGCACAAATCTTACATTATTCCTTTCATTTGCACTCTAAGCAATGAATTGAGTCACATCTACCTAACTGTAGATGGAGCAAGATGGCACCAAGACTTGAAAATGCAAGAATTTATAGAAAATAAGACTATACACAACTATCTTGGCCACCTAATTCTTTGGACCTCAACCTAATTGAGAATTGTTGGATGATTATCAAATGATGCCTTAAAAAGCATATCTTACAAAAAATAAAAAAAAAATAAAAAAATCATGATGTCAACAATTGTTTGAAGCAACACTAGAAGAGTGGAATCTCATTAATTTGAGCACTATTAATAAATAGATAGATGAGATGCTTAGAAGATTGTATACGATTTTTAATGCAAATGGATGTCATATTTAGTAGTAATAAAGTTTAGATGGTATGCTTCAAGTCTTGTAAATTTTGTGAATACATGAAGTTGTATGTGGTTATAAGCCTCATTGAAGTAGACATGTTTTTCATCCACATAAATACAAAGACTTATTACACATGGCTGTATACAACACCTACTATATCTTGATACTAAGAATTTTTACAGCCACTATAATCCAATCTTTGACACTGTTTTTTTTCAATCAAATGGGAGATATTCAACTTTTTTCACACAATCTTTGTTAAAAGTAGTGTTTTTTAAATAATATTATAAATAATATCATATTTTTAGTTTTTGTTAGATGATTAGTACTCTCATTCCTATATAATGATATTTACATTATATTAGATGATTCTTATTTAAAAATTATAAATAAACTATAAATTTTTAAATGGTATGTGCATATAAATTGTTTGTACCTTGAACATTTATACAAAGGGTGATAGATTAGATAGAGCATTTGTATCAAAAAACAAGACTTATACCCAATTTATTTTGTACTTTGTCTTAATATTTTGTAATAAAGATAGATGAGCTAAAAAATCTATTAAATATAAGTGCATAAGGATACACAAATAGATAGAGCAAAATGATTACCTTGCCATGAATAAAACTTGTATCTAATTTATTCTTTACAATATGTAATTTCTACATAATTTGTTTAGAAAATTAAACAAATTTTTAACTTAAAATTAAAATTTAGAATTATTAATATGCAAATATGTTTTGTAATTATATGCTAACAATAACTAATATGTATTTCATAGTATATATTAAAGTAAGTCTATTTTTTTTCTAAAATATTTAAGTATATTGCTTGCCACAATTATTATTATTTTAATATAGCTATTGGAATTTGTCTTTACACCACATAAACATTTTGAACATCTACTATAATTAATGCACACATAAATTGATATATAAATGTATTGTTTATTTATTTATTTTTTAAAAAAAGTAACAATACTTACAAAAAATGATTCTATTTGAAAACCAATGTCTAGTTATTATCAACAAAATTTAAAGTCAATAAGCAACACAATATGTAATTACAAAATTTAACATTTTATTACTTGTTGCATTTTTTTATGACTAATTATCACAATTTACACATTCAGTGTATAATCACAAATTAAAACCTTTAAAAACAACATTCTATAGTAATTGCCAATTCAAGCAACAAAACAAAAGCCATACTATTATAAAATATATTTATATTATTTTAAAAAATAAAAATAAATAGAAATAAACAAAAGTTAGTAGAAGCATTTTAAATAGATAATATCTTCTTTAAGAAACATCATAGATTTTTCTTTAAACATAGATTAGATCTATAGGTTCTTTTATATTTACCATGTTATAATTGAAACATATTTTAGAAATTTAATTTCTTCATGAAGCTACTATAAGAATAATCTATAATACGGATCTTTTACTTACAAGCCTTATGATTCTTAAGAAGTTTTCCATGGCTTTATTAACTTCTATATATAGAAGCAAGATTGTATCAAGTACATGAATTTGGAAAAAAAACTTTTAAAAGACAATATACTTAAGATTTTGCTAATGCCACCATAATTTTTGATACTACAACAATTCTATGAAAATTTTAGTTTTTTCTTGCTACTTTTAACAACAACCATTTTATCATGATTCAATATGTATATTGGAAATATTAATAGTTTTTTTTGATTGGAATAAAAATAAATCAAAGAAATATGTTGAAAAGGTGGCAAGTTATGGTGGTATTAGCAACATAATAAGAAAAGAAAAAATAAATAAAATAGTTATTGCTAAATACTAAAAAACTAGAGAGTCTTGACCAAGACTAAAATACAAGAAAGACATTGATAAGACTTAAAATGGCCTCACTCTTACTTTGTACATATATTAGCTACCAAAAAGGCCTTGTAGAAACTTCCTGAAGACCATGAAGTTTGTTGCCCAAGTATTCAAGTTATTTTCAATAGGGCTTCTTATAAAATAGGAAACTATTAGATTGGTTTCAATAGCTATATGACATGTCTATAGAAATTTAAAGATCAATTCCACATCTAGAGAACTATTTGATATTTTTTTATAAAGATATTATCTACCTTACATGTTTCTACCTGTATCTACTAACCTCTATTTATTTAAGTATTATAGGTATTTGTTACAAAGTGAAGCTACCTTTAGTCTTATTAATTCCTTTTTTAATATTTTATTCTTGGTTCAAGTCTCTCTAGCTTCTTTGTATTTGTCAATAGTCATTCTAATTCATTTCTGTTTTATAATCATACTTTTTAGTTGTTGTTGTTGTTTTTTTTTTTTTTTTTTTTTTTTTTTCCTAATGGTTTATCAATACACTAAACATTTAGAAGTATGTCCAAATACATGTCTTTGACAACTTTTTGGAAATCTTTATTAATACATAAAACATCTATTAAACAAAAAAAAAAAAAAAAAAAAAAAAAAAAACACACACACACATAAAAACATAAAAATAGAAAAAACCACACAACTTTGCCTCAACTTTTTATGTGTAAATAATAAAATATTTCTAAAAACAAGAATATATTCTATCTTGATATCCAAAACGAACACATCTACACCTACTTGAAATTAATATGTTTGTAATTGCTTTAATGTGTTTGAACATTAGAATATATTATTAAATTTGCACCTCAAGACCATAATTGATAAAAGATTTCTATAACAAAAACTACAGACATTAGATAAAAATAAATAATAAATAATAAAAACAACAACTACAATAAAATATGGACAAACAATTAATCACTTCATTTATTGTTCAAAATAATAATTTTAAAATCCACATTTTAGAGAAAAAACTAACAATTGTACAAAAGATTTAGATTTTCCACCACAATAATATTCATTTTGTAATAAATTTTGATTTAAATGCTATAAAACTTTCCTTAATATGTTTTTTTCAAATGTATAAAATTTAACAATAGGCATGTGAAATCATATACATTTCTTGTTTATAAAAGCAAAATCTAATATTTGTCATCAGAAATCATACAACCAAAAAACATGTTGCAAAATTTATTTAAAAAAGCATTACTATGTCCTTGAATAGTATGTCGTCAGCAACCAATCCAGCACCAAATATACTTTCCATATACTAATGGGTTTTTCAAGAATTAAATTTCTCTGGATCTACAACAAAGTAAAGTCTGTACCCAGATCAATCACAGCTCTTAGGTGCATTGGAATTGACAGCTTGTTTGAAGATTATTCTTTTTATTACATGTGTATGACCACCTCGCATTGTCACGGCAGCACCTATCGCAGGTAGCCCAGCCAGGAAATGACCAGGTAAAATATAAGATTATATGATTTAGGCAACCGCTAAACAGGCAGCATAATACAATGAGGCAATCAAGCAATTGCACATGATTAGAAGTAGACAGTAGTTGGCAATGCGAGAGTGCTGCAATTCATGGACTTAGTTGTGAAAATTCAACCGTCAACGTGCAACCGCGAAATGACCAACTCTGAAGACAATCTCTAAACCGAACATAACTACGCCTTAAGAAAACCTAACGCGACTCTGAATGACAACAATTGCTAGAAATAGAAATGAAAATATAATTGAAGTGCCAATGCACCAACTGGAGTCAATATTGTCAATCCTTAGATCCGCTGTATAAAAAATCAGGAAGCGTTAATTTCTTTCTAGATCTCCTTAGGATGGGCTCCTGGATAAGTTCACCAGCGGTTGTGTCTGTCTCATGTACTCGACCATCTTGTCCAACACCCGATGTAACAGTCCCTGTGGCGCTCAGCTCAACAGCTCCAGTGTTTTCGGAGCATGTTCTACTACAACTTGAAACACGATTCTTCCGCCTTGTGTACACAATCAACTCTGCATCCTCTTCATCCCTTTTTTCTTTGACAGCATCATTACATGGTGAACATATCACGTTGCTGACCAAAATTGGGTTAGTTCTATGTTCCACTAGGTCAGCATCAGAGGCACCACCCCCATTCCCTGTATCTCCTCTTACAAACGGCTCCTGAGCATAATTTCCATTAACTGAAGAAGTTTCTCTCGCTCCTTCAACTGTAGTGACCATACTATCATTTGACACACCATCTCCTGAAACTTCTCCAGCACTTGGCACTCGGTTCTGAATCGGCAGCATCTCTTCCAACACTAAAGCGAGTTCTGGTATCCGAGTCTTCGTGGAGGTCTTCACCCTTCGCTTAGGAGATTTCTTTCTCCGGCATAGCAATTTGGAACCAGGTATTCTCGCTGATTCCTCTACGCTATTAACCGGCGCCGCATTGTTACCGTTTGATGAATCCACCTCAACACTCTGCAGGTCCTTCTCAATTAGCAGATTCTCTGTAATAGCTGACACAAGCTCTGGTGTCTTTCTCTTCTTGGCCGCCCTCTCACCAGGATTAGAAGATCGTCTTTTCTTTGATTTCTTTGTGCTGTTGAGGGGCGCTACATTGCTACCATCCGCAGAGGCAACTTCGATAATCTGCAAGTCCGTTTGTATTGGAAGGTCATCATTCGTTTCTGAAGCAAGCTCCATTGACTTCATCTTCTTAGAAGACAACTCCACTGGCTTAGGAGCTTTTTTTGGCCTAGATTTCTTTAAACTTCTCACCCGCACCTCCTGGTTACCATTTGAAGCAATCCCTTCAGCTCTCTGCAATTCCTTCTCAACCAGTATGTTCTCGTCTGTCGAAGTGGACACTTGTAATTTCCTTTTCTTAATGGCGTTTCCTCCCGGTCTGGCAGCTTGTCTTCTCATCGCACCGTTTGAGCTGTTGAGTGGCATTGAATTGCTACCATCTGCGCAGTCAACTACGACAGCCTGCACTTCTGTCTCAGTTGGAAAGTTATCCGTCGATTGCGAAACAAGCTCTGGTGTTTTCCTCTTCTTGGACGGCCTTTTCCCTGATTTACGAACGGCATTTTCTGTTGATGTGGTTAAGCTTTTCGGCGAAGCTGGATGGTTATGCTCTTCCTCACCAGCCACCGGAGGTGGAAGAAAATCCTGAAAGCCAAGGTCCGGCCGTTCTTTCTCACGACCTACAAAATTATTTGCAAGAGCAGCTCGACGAATAGCCATGTCCTTCTTGAAAGAGATCTTATGTTCCGGGTGCAATAATTTCCAATGTCGAAAACATTGATTATCAGTACGACCCAGCTCAGCTCCCACTGCAGCCCAGCGATGCCGCCCGTACTTGACAACAAGTTCTTCTAGCTTAGCATCCTCCTCTGGACTCCATTCATCAATTTTCACCGAAGGGTCAAGCACATTGCACCAACGCTCCCGACATTGAACATCAGAACGTCCTGGCACATGAGCGGCAATATTTTTCCAGCCTCGAGGCCCATATACAGATACCGCCCATTTCAGCCGGGTGTCTTCCTCGGCAAGCCAGCGTCCTCGACGATGACGATCTGGATGCAAAACCTTTGTCCACCTGGACATGCACTGGGAACCTAATCGGCCTTCCATGCAGGCGGCTACTGATTGCCAATCTTTTTCTCCGAATTTCTCTACCGCTGCCTGGAGCTGCTCGTCCTCTTCAGGAGTCCAAGCACTACGCAAAATTGCCGCATTCAGACTTCGCTGGTATCGAATGGCACATTGTGCTGGCGTTCTTTGAGTATCCAACTCCTCTGCAATAGCAGCCCACTCCACCATATCGTGTGCCTGGACAATCGAAAGCAGTTTCTTGTCCTCAGCCTTGGTCCAAGGTTTACTGTTTAACAAAGGATTCTCGTTATTCTCCCACTGCAACTTGCACTCCCAAGCTGACCGGCCACTGACATAGATTCTAGCCACCTCGTTCCAATCGATAAATGGCAAACCCTTCTTCAACTCTTCTTCATTCTCTCCTATGGTTCGCATTTGCTCATCGAAATCCTGACCTTCCTCATCAGAGTCCCAACCTTCCATCATCGCACGAAGACGAATCTCTTGCAATTGTTGCCGGACCCCCTTGGACAGAGCCTGAGTTTCCTTCTTCGTCCACTTCTTAACATTAAACTCTGCTGGAAGCTGGCTCTGAAGTTTCCTATATATTTCAACATCAGGGTTTTCTGGAGGACCCCTAACCTTAAACTCTCCTGACTTCTTTTTAGATGCAGGTTTAGTTGCAATGAGCTCCACAGAGGAGTTAACTACCTCTGTAAAACCACAGAATTTGCGAGTGCAAGCCTTCTGATACTCTACTAATGATACTGCACGTCGTTGCATTTCTTTGTTTTCGCTCAATTTCCTCTCCACTTTCTGAAGCACATCTCTAAGAGTTTGCTGGCAAAGCCTATTTTTCAACAATGCATCAGTAACAGCCTGTACATTTTCTGGCACCTTGGTCTTGCCACCACAGGATCCCAACTTGGTGTCATGAATAGTGAGCGCCAATGGATTCTCGTCAAACTCATCGTCACTCAATTGAGCCGGAAGAAAATTCTGTAGTTCATCAACTGTATCGACGATCGCAGTGTTCCATCCTGCCCCTTCAGACCTAGCTATCGCCTGAGCATTGTCACTGCTAACAGCCTCCACGCCTGGGACACTCGCTTTGTCCTCCTCAGCAGTAGAATTAGCACACCTTTCATCTCTAGCAGACTCTGTATCTAGGCCTCGGAAAGTTGGCACAACTACCCCAGAGAGGACTTCTCTCTCTACATCCCCTACTGCTAGTGATGGAGGATTTGAAAGGGTGGTCTTCTCGTGCTTAGAGGCTTTCACGAGGTCGAGAGCCCCACAACTTTCTTTCACTGACCTCAAAAGATCTTCATCCTCATCGTCAGAAGAATTCTCACAGACAGGAGCAGATCTTCTTAAAGATTGGGACACTCCATCAGTTTCTGGTACAGATGGACGTCTTGCAGTCGTACCCGTGATTCCTCCATCCTTGGCAACTCCTTGTCGCTCCTCACATTCACTGGAGGCTCTTGGAGTAATCCTCTCCTTCGCAGGAACTGCTTTAGATCGAACGGGCCCTGATACCAAGCCACCTTTTCCCAAAAATTTACGCTCAATCGACAAAAGTAGGGCATCATCATCATCATCATCATCATCATCCACTTCCCCATCCCCCTCTTCCTCATACTCTTCTTCTCCAAACTTGGATGCTGCAAGGGTTGAGGAGCTCTTGAGCCTTACCTCGGCGCCGGGTAACATCTGGCAGGCTTGTTTCAATGCCTCTATGTGTTCCAAAAACTCATCGTCAAACAAATCTGCAACGTCATCATCCTCATCGTCGTCATCCAGCACCCGCGATAATCCTCTTTCATACGCCATAACTATAGAAGTTCGCCCACAGACGATCAGCGAATCCGTAAACCTCCCAACTCTCACTGATATAGTATTTCAATTGCTAAGGAATCCCTACCATCACCTATAGAAACCTCTCGCGTCCCAACCGACCTCACCAACTAAAAACCGCAGAGGCAGACGAACTTCTCCGAAGATCTGCCGCCCATGCTAATGCTTACGCCAAGCATGAATCTGGCATCCGGCAAAGCAATCTCCTGTCAAACTCATAATACTGCAAAATAAGCCCGACTGCCACGTCAAAGCCAATCCAACTTTGTCGTTTGACAAGTGGCAGTGACGCCATCCAGAATTCAATCAGCTTTCACCAGCGGTGAGCGCAAGGCAAACTCCATGAGGAATCCGCACGAGCAAAGCACGACGCCAACAAAGAGGAAACCCTCGTGTCCCGGCACAAGAACTGATCCGAGCAAAAAAATCCACCCCAAGATTATCGCCACCAACGATGCAACGCCGAACGCGCCTCCGTAACGAACCGGAACACGAACTTCAGCCATCGCACACATACACACACAGCACTCTTGCGACACCACACAAGGTTCCGCAACACCGACTCCGAGACTCCGGCAGACAAATCTGGTGGCAAGAAACTCGTTACATGCGTAAACCCAGAACCCTAAACGGAAGAGATCCGAGCACCGCATGCAGTTCAAAACAGAAACTATGACAGATATAAGAGGGAGCCAAGCCCTCCCTCCCCTAACCTAGGACTGCCCTGCACGGACCTACAATCCCCAGTTAGCAGGTCTGGAGTCGAACCTAGCGGGTGGGGACTTGCAATCCAAGCCAAACCCTTGTGCCTCGTTTCGACGTACTAATGTAAGCACGTTCCATTGAAAAAGTAATTAAGACAAAAAGGTCCTTTTCCCGTTTTCCTTCTTGCTACCGTAAACTTTTCCCAACAATTTCAATAAACTACTTTTGCAAACTGCAGTCCATCTTTTTGTGTTCGTTACCTTTCATGTAAGAAAGAATTTAAACATTAGTGGTAAAATTTATCCGATTATTTGTATTACTTTGCTTCTGTAAAATACGTGGTTGTGTTGATAAATTGTGACTTTTATTTTTGATAAAAATAAATTAAAACTTAACATGCTTTAAGACTGTCCCTTAGACGAAAAACCCAAAAACACAATATTTGTTTAGAATCATAGCAATGTATTTTCTTGAATCCTTTTAATAAAAAAATAATTAAATAATTAAATTTTATATGATGCATATAACATATTTTAATTTTAGGTGTTTGAAGACTTCTTATTTTACTTTTTTAAAATACAATTTAATATCAATTTTAATTCTTCAAAAATATATGTATATTCTATCTTTTGGAATATGTCCAAATTTAGAGTTTAATATTTATTCTTTTGTAGCCACTTTCTCTTTTGTCTTGTTTTTGCCGATGCTTTTATTCTACAAAAAAAATTGAATCGAGAATAATTATCTATTATTACCACAGTTATTGGATGGATCAAATTGTTTGTCATTATTATTGTACATTTTAGTTAGAATTGAGTGCTCCATCTTTGACCAATTGTGATTGCAATGCTAGTGTTAAAAAGGTGGTTGCTTGGAGATTTTATTGGTAGATAAGTCAATTTAGTTTAATATCTTGTTTCTCTTTCATTAATTTTATACAAGTTTAGGTGTCACCATTTATATTAGTATTCTGTAGCATTTTTTATTAAAAAAAAATAAATTAATTAGTGATTTTTTTAAGGATATTGATAATGTATGGTAAAAAAATAGAGATTAAGTATAACCTATTGAGAAAAATTGGATTGGGTTCTATGAAATAATTTGTTTATTTATTATAACTAACAATTTAAAAAAAAATTAGGGTTTAAAATTTCAACCTATGTGGACTTTAGAATCTCTCTGCACATTTGTTTTTGTATGTAGAACAAAAGTATAAGACTTTATTAATAATATTTTTTCATTGTTTTAATTTATTTTTATAATTTATACCTCTTTCAACATGGTTCTAATTTGTAGCTTCAAGTGCTACAAAGAATTGGACATCTTTGACTTTTGTTAGATTACTATAATTATATAAGATTGTTTGATTCCTTAAAATTCACTTCAATTATTATTATTATTATAACTTATATATGTACCACTGTTTTACTTTGATTTACAATATGTTATTTACATGTTTTATTTTTATTGTATAATATTGAATGTTAAAGATAATTTAATATTCAACTAATTTTGTTTCTTGTAGTGAAAATTAAGCAGTCAAAAATTAAAATATGGCAATGATTATTAAACATCATAAGAATACAAAATTTATTAATATGGAATATTAATAAATTTTAAATAGCTATTAAAATTTTAATGCTTTTATTGATTTGATTTATTTGCATGACTTATTTGCATGATTTATTTGCAAGATAGAGTTGATAAAGTTAGAATTAAAACTCACACATACAATAAATTCAGTGTTCAAATTAAATATGTTTCTAATAGTATTGCAATTCTGTATATTCTTAAGTGTGGTGATATTTCTATAATAAATTTTAAAAACATTTTAGTTATTTATTTATTTATTTAATGTAAAAAATAAAACAACTTATCATTAAATGCTTATAATGTTAATTTTTTTACTTGTAATATTATTTAAAGAATTGGGTTAAATTTTTGCCAACTAAAGATTTTACAATTGTTTTGCTACAAATAACTTAAATAAAACCAAAGTTGACCAAAAAATAATCTTTTAATATGTATGTTTATTACAAAGAAAACATTTAATCAATTTTCACAATTCAGTAATAGTATTTAATCATAATATTATATCACATTAAAAATATAAACAAACTTATATCACTTAAATATACAATTGGTATAATTTATCAACATTAGAGTTATAATGTAAAGATTTTATAATATATACACAAATCATGTAGAAAATTGCATCAAATCATATAATGTTTGTTGCAAAACTAATTTTTAAGATGATGTAATGTTAATCACTTTAAATATTCTTGACTCTGATATTGCATATGATTTGAATAAAATATAAAATATTTTGAATCTTTATTATAATATAATAATATAATAATATAAAAATAAGATATAAAAATAAATCTACTGTGCTGCAGTTGTCATTGATTTAACAGTAAAAATTGTGTACATAAAAATTATATTAAAAAAAAAAAAAAAAAAAAAAAAAAAAGAATGTTAGAATTCCTAGTGGAAATCAATATCTGCGAGATAGAGAGACTATGCAATTGCAAATTTTATTTGGACACAATATCCGCTATTCTTAAAGAGGCTTTTTTTGTCACATGCACGTAGTAGCAAGTTACTCTTTCAATCTGTAATTTGAGAGGAACCTTATGCAATGCATGACACAAGGATCTTAGAAGTTCGAATGCCTGGAGAACAGAGAGTTTGTATTCAGATGTAATGAAAAGGAAAACAAGCGCAGGGTTCAGCCATAAGTTTCCATAAGGATGGGCTTTGAGAGCTTATCAAACCTCCTATATTCTCGAAACATCTTTTGGATAAAGGGCGAAACCAAACGCAACGTACAAACCATGATAGCAGAAACTTCGTGACCAAGGAACACGGTTCTTCCGCAACCTGATGACACATTCCATCCAAATAAGTAACAATGTTGGAACAACATTCCAAGAGCAAAGCGGCTTGTCATCCAATGAACTCTGAATCCTTGAAGATGTTAAATGAGAAAGATATATCACTGATGTCTGTTTCGGCTCTATCCACTGACAGTAGACAGCCGACGAAGCTGAGGTTTGCCGTGCAGTATTATGCAACAGACAAATATCAACCAAGACAAAAATGATTCCAGAATAGTTGCACACATGACCATTTAATCTGTGCGACACCCAGACTATGCAGTGATTAACTGGGTAATACACATACCGTGACGCACGAGTCGTCTGCTTCAAAATGATTTAGAACTAATCAGCGAATTGGCAACACAAATCAAGTGTCAAGTTTTGAACCTTAACTGTTAGCTTTTCCAGATGCAACAGGTATAGGAAGAGCTAGTGTAACATCACATCTCACAATACCTGCAGTTGCGAGCCAAAGTGACTTCCTCAACCTTCCGAGCGAATACTCCAAATTGTCATATGCACAAAACAATCACAGGAGAAACAGCAAATAGGAGAACAGAGTACGCGTGGAATGTATACATAGTGTTATCACCTGTCTGTCACCACCAAAGCCAAATATCGAAAGCAAAACAACTCAAGTACTAAAAATCTACAATTTCGCAGTAAAAAACTGTGGTATCACACATCAAACGTGAACTACAACTCAGACGTGCAGCAGTATCATGTAAGCCGGGATTGAAGTTATCTATATGGACGCCACCAACCCCTTCCAGAACTGATACAGTTTATAATTATCCAAAATCTCTCAAGGGATCCAGTCTAATCTTGGTTTAAATTGGAACAACCCTTCTACCCTGGCTTGCCGCATCTTATCAGAGAAGGACGCAGTTGGAGGAAATCTCCAATACTTCTCTGCTTTCTTGTAAACTGCAATCCTAAAACTTCCATCTCTCGTATAACCAGTAATGGCGAGATGATTTCCACTAGCAACTATTTCAACACCCTCCTCATCCTCGAAAAACTTATTTCTAATCTTATAAGGAATCTCGATTCCAGTATCTTCCCACCTCTTCGTATCAGGATTCCTCTCGAAAAGCAAAATCCGGTATCCATTTTCTTCAATAAAAAAATCATCAACAAGCAAAGGCAGGGCTGTCATCACATGACCGTCCCACTCAAAAATCTCCATGCGTTCCTCCTCGTCAGTAGTCTCCTCATGCCATTGATCGTTCTTTATGTCATATGACAAGAGAATATTCTCATTTGACGTGCTTGTAACAAAGTAGACCATACCATTACAAAGCATGCCTCTTTTAGGTGCTTGATTAAATGAAGAACTCAAAGGAAGCTGGAGTTTGTACTCTGGAGATTCCGTCCACGTCCCAGTTGCTGAATCATAGATCTCGGTCACCAACCTTGTGTCGGACTCCATGTACTGGTAAGGGTGTTGCTTTGGGTTATGAGCCATCAGAATTTTGTAGGTCTTGGAACTGACATCCGCATAGGCATGCACAAAGAAAGTGCCGCGATTGACAGTTTTGTGCTTACAGGTGGGAAGATTCTTCCACTTGTTGGTGAGAGGGTTCCAAACTAACCAGGGGAAATGAGTTCGAATATTCTGCTCTTGCTTCCAGAGGAGCAAACAAAGAAGCCCTTCTACAGAGTAAATGCTCTGATCGACAAGAGAGTGCTCCACTCTAGTTTGAGGAGGAAAGCTCCTCATCTTCTTCCATACTTTGTCGACATAATCATAAATTGACCACTCGAGACTACTCGGGTAGTAAGATCCCGCATAACAGATTGCAGGACTAGGACATTCTGAGGCGTACCTTCCATCGTACAAACTACGAAAGCCACGACGATGGATTACGTAGCGCCAGTCTTTGCACACACACCGAACCTGGAACAAGTTTCGAAGGGGCAAGTAGCTGAGCACCTTATGTTGCAATTCCCGGGGTAGTTTCGTCCACAAACAGATATTCTCCCCTTCCGTAGCGGGTTCGGGATTATCCCTGTTCATCGTATCGGGATCCTCTTCGGCCATGGCCACCTGTTAGTATAAATCCCACGAGACGACAAGCTAACGCTTAGCAGTTGACGGGAGCCTACTAACCACTCGGCTTTAAGGATTACAATACTAGAAGAACAACAGCTTCAAAGCACAAATGACCTAACCTCAAAGGCGCATCACAAACTGACACGGGAAAATTTCCACGAGAAACAAAAATATACCAGACAAAGCTTCTCAAGATCCTCAAGAGCGAGTAGAATGATACAATTTGGGATTCAGGCCACGCAACGTCTTCAGACGATGATCTAGCTCCTCAACCAGCTCCAATCCAAGAGAACTCGCTAGCAAGAAGCTACACCACTCCCAGCTCAACCCACCATCAGTTTTAACAAGAAAATCACGCATCGTACCGCAATTGAAATTCCAATCCACGCAAAGAAAGAATTGAACAAGATGCAGCAGGAAGCGGCAAAGCACAATTAGAACTTCAAACCTTATAACAGCGAGTGAAAGCGAAACAGAAACCCTACAGAGGGCGAATAGAAACAGAGGGAAAGGATGCTCCCATTCCGACACCATCCATCCCCTCCCTAAAATCCAATAGCTGTTTGCGGCTACATGAATGATCCACCTGAAGTGAGGAGCACGGCCACAGACATCATGCTGCGAAGACAAAATCCGACACCGCGGAATGACCCGAAGAGCAGAGATAGAGAAGGACAATTATTTGCCGCACCACAATGCTCCTCCTCTTCCTCTTCCTCCTCCTCTAAACCTTGATTGAGTGAGGGGGGGCATGGGCCGGCGTGGGCGTTGTTGTTAGCTTGCTTCCCTTCCCTTCCGACAACTTAAAAGACTTGACCAAGCCTTCTTTCAAGTGGCGTTGGCTCCTTTTCACACTACCGTAATGTGCCCTCTCTTCTCTGTCTGCATCATCCCATCTATGCCACCAGTGCAGCCAGTCATATCTCTCCTTCGTGCACATGTGAGCTCCCATCCCAGCCGTCCACTCACCCTTCGTAGAATTGTGTCGCAGGAGCCTCCCTACTCAATCGACTGGGTCCGCCATCGTGGGCCTTCGGATTGCAGCTGCCGCTCAGATTCAATCTCAACCGCCGATTCGGGGGGGGGGACGGAGGGAAGGAACGTAGGGGGACCAGGGGGGAGGGCAGATTGGACGGCGGCAGGGTTTGGAACTCAGAGCCCACACTGATTCACATTCACATGGGTGCTGACGTTTGTTCATGGGCTGCCTCAATCCCAATTTTCAACTATCACTCTTGCTTCAAAGATTTTTTTTTTTTTTTTTTTTTTTTTTTTGTTGTCATACACAACAACAGTACTCAACTCAATGTGCATGATACTTTTGTTTTCAACAGGAATTTTTGCAACTCAAAAAATTTACTAGTTACTTTTTTCTCAAACACAGATATTTTACAAACAAGGATTCATCATTGATTATTTTCTTTGTAAAAGAAATAAAATATAGATTGGCTACATTATAGTTTATTTTATTTTTTAATTAAAATTTATTTTACACATACTCTATTGGAAATATTATGAAATGTTATTGTTATATTTTATAAAAAAATTAAGATAACTCATTTAATTAAGTTGCTTTTTGAAATATTATTTTGGTATAAGATATTATATAGATTTATTTATTTTCAACTTATTTTGCAAATCATAAAATATTTTCTAGATTAAGATGCAAGCTCTCCTCTTAGTAATATACATATATCTCCATATTTTCCCAAACTCCTCTACATGTTCTTTGTGGCTACTATGTAAGGATGTATTGATGTTCCAATAGAGGTTGCTCAACATGTGCATAGGAAATGCTAAGTTATTATAAGTGTTGATATAGTGAGAGGGGCTTTATGTGTTGTAAGATTCAAATAATAAATAAAACAAAAGAAGCCAAAATTGAATTAAAAACATATCAAGGAGCAACTTGAATTTGCTAAACGCCATGAACATTAGACCATTTTTGACCAAGAGCATATTATCTTCTTTGATGAGGCAAAGGTAAATTGATTTTGCATTGATAGTCATAGCTCGTGCTAGATCTATAATAGAAAATCTTGCAAATTAAGACAATTTCAATAGACAATAAACTTTGGTGGTCATTTGGTGATGGTGTGGAATTGTATGACCTTCCAAGGCCTTGACATTATTTGTAGAATTGAAGGAAGAATGGTTCAATAGTAATACAAGAAATCTTGTGGTGAGATTTATTATACACTCCAATGGCTTATGATCTTGATCCTTCCCATTTAATTTTTCAACGTGATAATGATTCCAAACATACAATAAAAAATATTGGCTACTAGTTGAGATCAAAAAAGTTACATGCACAATCTTGTGATCTAAATCCAATTCAGTATCTTTGGATAGGGCTAAATTGTTGTCTCAATTAATATCAAAATGCTCCAACAAGAATTGTAGAGTTGTAGGAGCATATTATAGAATGTTAGGCTTCCATTACACTAGAAGAGTGTAGAAAGTTATATGAGAGCATGCCAAAGCTAATCCAAACTGGTTTAATTAGTAAAGATAGATGGACAAAAATATTAAGTTGTTTTGTGATGGAAGATACAAAAGTGAGTCAAGGAACTTAGTTTCCATTATATATGATTTTCTTGTAAATATTAATATAAAAGAGACATCTTTTTCCATCAAAATGTAGCCTACTCAAACTATTATCTTGGACAATTTATGGTTTATGATGATGATCTATTGCCAATTTCTCTACATTATTGATTAAATCAGGAATTTCAAGAGTTTTACTCAGTTTTGCTACACACTACATGTATGTGTATATGTATATATATATATATATATATGTATATGACAGTGTGAGTCTCAAGCTTTGGGCACTTAAGAATTGAATAAACCTAGTAGAGGCAAGGCTTTTATGCTTTGATGAAATCCAGTGGCACAGGTTGTGTGTGTGAGACAAAAACCAGCTTGGTTGTGGGTTCATTCATGCACTTGTGTTCATCCACACCTCATTCATTCATCCAAAGGGGTCATCAGCACAGCAGTCGTCACTCAACTCTTCTTACTTCTGCTTCTTCATTTTATTTACTGCAGCTTGTTATCATATCTGCAGCATCGCCATCGCCATTCTGTGCACGGAGCTCGGTTTGCCCTTCTTCTTCTTCACCATCCCACCACCACCACCACCTTCTCTTGGTTATCTATTTATTTATCTATCTGTGGCTCCTGATGTCTCTTCTTATCCTCTCTCTCTCTACCGCCCCATTTTTTTCTGGTGCAGTATCCAGGACTTAAGTTTGTTAATGCTGAGTTGGTCTATTTCTGTTCGGGAGAGTTGTAGTTTCCTTGGGAGAGGAGAGGAGAGGAGAGAAGCTGTCTGACTGTCTGCCTGGTTGGTGCTCCTTCACCTACTCTTTCAATTCTTTATTATTTTTCTATGTTATCTCTGTTCGTCGTGTTAACATGTGGTTCTTTTCTGAGTTCTGTTGCTTCTGGTGTACTCATTATTTTGCAACCTTCCACTTTGCCAACCTCAATGGTTGGTGGGTCGATACATGCCTACCCACGCACCTATATACGATTTAGCCTAAGTTCTGAATTACTCCTGGTAGACTAACAACAGTATACTGTCCTGCCTTAATCTCCAAACTAGGGTTCACTTTTAATTTCTTTTTGAATATCGGCATTTTAATCACTGTGAGATTCCCGACGGAGTTATTTTTCTCTTTGGGAGCTAGACACTGCAGCCTATTTTTGAAGGTTGGGATTCTTTTGAGCTGTCTGTTTGTTTTCGGATCCACTCTTCATCTGCGAATATATTTCGTCGTTAGAGCTTATTAAGTTATGTGCGTCCAGTTTTTTCATCTTTGTGCCACTCCGTCCGCTCTTCCTATTTGATTCTTCAAAATCATACGAATTACACCTAATGCTTGCGTAACTGATGAGATTGGATGGTTGCACGACTCACATATTGAGAACGCACACAAACACACACACACACACACACTCACACACACACATTATAAAAATCACTGTTTGAGTGTCGTGTAACTTGTCGTTTAAAATTTTACGTAAGTATTACGTTATATCACCATGCTGTTTCATCGCGTCTAAATTTTACATCGAATGCCTCCCCATTTTAAACTCTCCTTACTGAAACTAGTGGGACTTGGAATTTTGCGCAGTTGGTGCTGATTACAAGGAATCATACCTGGGCGTGGGATCACTTAAATTTTTTTTCCATTGGTTCTTTTACTGCAAGCATATCTTGAATTTTCCCAGAATTAATTCTCAGGCACCATGGATGATGAGTGGGGTATGTGTCTTCTTCTATTTCCCTTCAATGTGGCTTTGCATGACAGCAGCACTATATTATTTTGTTCCTTTTGCCCGTCGCGGAAGTTCTGACTCATGTCTGTCGCGTTTTCTGTTCGTCTTCGCAGATGCCGACGATTTTGTTCCCTTGCCCCCAGTGTCGGCCAAGGATGAACCCAAGACTACGAGTCAATGGGACGATGAAGACGTAGAAGACGAGCTCAAGGAAGAGGCGAAGCCCGAACCTGTACGTTCGGTTTTCAATCTGTGAAGTAAATGAATTTTCATGTTTCATGGGTTGTAATACAGATAGCTAACGCAGGTATTGAAGTTTATTTATTTATTTATTTTTTACCTTTTTAATAATTCTATTATTAGTTATCCTTACAGCACCCATCGTTTATAATTTGCATTATGGTATCTTATACCCTGGATGATGTTGCTGTCAAGACTGGGTGAACTGATACTTGGTCGCTGTCTCATAAAGGTGATTGCACCCAAACCCAAGAAGAAGTTCAAGAAGAATATTGATGACGAGGGGGATTTGTCGGACCCAATTGCGGAAAAGCTTCGTCAACAGAGGTAACACTTAAATGTTTATGGAGTGGTCATTTAGCTTGTCTTTTAATGCTCGAAAAATATATGGACTAATATCTTCCATTTTTTATTACCGTTTTTTGGTTTAAGGTGGCTTAACTACAAATTGCTTTTCATCTCATCAAGAGAAAAAAGAACTAGAAAATTGTGTAGATCCTCATTTAGTAAGTGTATGTCATGTGCGATTAGCTTCTTGATTCAATGCGGCATGTGATATCTGGCTTTTGATAGGTTAGTTGAGGAAGCGGATTATCAAAACACATCTGAGCTTTTCGGAGACAAGTCAAGGACTGGTCATAGTTTAGAGTATTTCATTCCCAAGTCTGAAGAGGATTTTCTCGATTATGCGGAACTAATTGCTCAAAAGATAAGGCCATTTGAGGTACAGATTCTGCAATCTATCGCAATTGGTACATTTGAAGTATTCATTAGTGTGAATAGGTTCATGTTTGCTGAACACACTCTGGGCTTTGTGCAACATGTGCAGAAAAGTTTCCATTACATGACACTTCTCAGAGCATTGCTGCGGCATTCAGTTGCAGCTGTGAAAGCTTCTGATGCGAAGGAGTTCGCTTCAAGTATGACTGTTATTGCCAATGAGAAGTTGAAAGCTGAGAAGGATGCTACTGCAGGAAAGAAGAAGACAGGTACATGTCTACCCATTAACAATATGTGAGATTTGTGTTTAAACTGTGTTTTGTTGGTGAGATCTGGCTCTTGAACCTGCACTACATGGAGTCCATTTTCTTCATCAATTCTGGCGGTATATACTCCGTATTGTGGAGGTGAATGCATTGTTGTACTGTATTGATAGCTTGTTTGAATGGTGCAGGTGCAAAAAAAAAGCAGCTTATGGTTGACAAACCAGATGATGATGGATTGGGTGGTGGCTCTTATGATCCAATAGATGACTACGATTTCATGTAATGGAGATGGGAGATCCTTTCACGTAGCCAATTCAGACTCTGAAGTCACGTTGAGTAGTGTAGTTGAAGGCAGTATTTGCTTAAGACAAACACGTCGCTGTTAAAAACGTCGTCTAGATTCAGCAATTTGTTTGGTATTGCACGCCGGGATGCGTGTCTGCTGTTGATCTGTAACCAAGATAATCGTTGCTGTTAGGGTAGAATTTCTCTCCTTTTTTGTTTTAAGTGCAATTTTGAAGTCATTGAGGCTTTTCTATCCTATTTGTGAACGAATAGTAACTATCTACTGGGAATTGTCCCGTTGAAACGTGATGTTGCTAACAATTTGTTACCATGGGAAAGAAATGGCTTGGTAATTTGGACTGGTAACTAATCTCTAGAGCTTGGTTTCTTTTCAGCGCTATGCCTCCTTTTGACTGGCATATCTTGAAGTATCTTCTCAATCAGAAATTTGATTTTACCCGGAGGCTCTCGTTGTTGGTTGTTAAAAGACCGAATTTCTCTCAAGAGGAATTGGGTTTAAGGAATTAAAGTGACAATCCTACGTCTTCTGTTTAGCTGATTTTGCGTGTTGGTTATATTGAGGATATTATCACAACCTGTTTCTTACGTGCTACTCGTGGGCATCTCAATATCTTGCTAAGTCCTCGTAATAACATCAAAACCGCAGACAAACCGGAGGAGGACGATTTTTCATGAACAAAAAGTTCTGTAATTATGTCCTCAACGAGGCAGTACCTCAGTATGACACTTGAGTATCATAAATTCTTGCATAATGTTACCGTGACAATCTATGTAGAATTGCTTTTCTATACTTCGATGACTGGAAAATTTGGATGCCTCAAACTTAAATTATTTTTTCGCGACACTTGATGCAGTTACACACAAGAATCTAGTCTAAATAAAATTCTGAATGTTCGTTTCATCATCCAGCGGTAAATCTCTTGGACATCTGGCAACTCGAACACACCATTGCAGTTCTAAATCATAATCATAACTACCTCAAAGCTACTCAATGTTCCAGTTCAAAGCATGCCCTGCCCACATTGGCACCACAGTACCTGGTCCAAACCCATATTCTGTAGGCACATTCCATCTCTTCTTAACCAAGGTGGTCGTGTTAGAATTTCTTGGCAGTCCATAAAAATCTGGCCCATTCAAGCTTGTAAATCCCTCCAATTTGTCAAGGGCATCTGCCTGCCATCACCAAAAAGTAGCAAAAGTAAAATGTCATTTTTCTGAAGGCCTTGAATTTTGCAGGCATACTAGCGCAAATAATGTACATGTGCCATCAAGAGATGGAATGTGACTAACAAACTAACTGGGTCATTTTTGCATGAGAAGAACACTGAAGACGCAACACTACCAAACTGGACAGACCTGAATTATCAACAACAAATTTTGCTAACTGTCTGCGTAATAACTCCAGAAAAGGAAACACCGTTTATCAGACTCGAGTGACATATCCATGCCTGAGGACACTGGTGACAAACAGTTTACGTGTAACATACTCGTTTGCGATGGTGTAAATACCTGATCAAATACTTCCGCGTATAAGGGAAGGGCAATAGGAGCACTAAATATGCCTGCACACCCACAAGGTGCTTCTTTGGTGTGCCTCTCGTGGGGTGCACTATCTGTTCCCAAAAAGAAACGTGAGCTGCCACTTGTAACTGCCGCAACCAAGGCTCTTCCTACAATATCATCCCAAGATAAATGAGTAAAAGTAAAATGCAAGCGCGAGTTGCGAAACAACGGTAACGCCAATTATGAGATACAACTATGCCCTACCACAGGTCAATGCTAGTATATTTATTAAAAATAAAATGAAATAAAATAAAACAAAAGTTACAAGGTAGATATGCAAAACTACAGACAAGTAACATTTTTATCTTGCTTAATTATTCATGCAACACAATTACTTAAAATAGAAATGATGTCTTACTGTGAGTCTCTCGCTTAAGTACTGGAAGGCAGTAATTATGGGGTTGAAGTCCTCCCTGAAACAGCGCATTCCTATTCATTAAGAGATGTTGTGGTGTTACTGTTGCTGCGACCTTGCCTGTCACAAGAAGATGACAAAAGTTAACTATCTCCCAGCTACCACAACAGGAAGGGTGGAAAACTTTAATCCGGAAACATTTTCAACTCACTTTCTACTCAAAGCAGGGTGAGTTTCTACACATGCGCACAACGGCAGCTGCTCCACACTAGATTCCTAAGTCAGTAATGAAGGACTCGTCCAAGAATCTTGAAAATTGATGATTAATATCTCCGAGAAGTACCATCACTATTCGACTCAACATACTTAACCGCGTCTTCAGTAGTAATGTGTTCCAATACAATCTTAAGATCCGGGAGTTTCTGTCTAAGGGGAGTAAGTACTGTCTCGATGAAAACTTTCTCCCGGTCAAAAATGTCCACCATTTGATCCGCTACTTCTCCGTGAACCTACAGCCATGTCACCAAAATAGGTCAACGTATCAAAGATAGAAACAGAAAAGGAATCCCTAAGGTGCGGAGCTATAATACAAAAGAGGACCTAGTTGTCTGAGGTTTCCCCTGGAAGTTTTTCATCATTTCAGAACCTCAAGAAAAACGCGTATATATCTGGCCTGAAGAGCACGAACTAGTTATCTACCATTCAAAACTTAAATTTTCCATTTCAAGTGGAGGCGACACCACGCAATTGTTATGAAACATGCGCAGTAAAGAACTACCCTCGTAGGACTTCAGAAGAACATCAAGGACACCAAATTTACCAGAAGAGGCAACCCCTGTTCGACCATTTCCTCAAGTACAGGCAGGCACTTTCCAAACAAGTCAGTGACGCCTGCTTGTGAATTTGTAGTTGCTCCTGCTGGGTACAATTTGACAGCTTTCACCAGCCCACTTTCACCTGTCAAGGCACCCCTCTGCTACTCCCTCAGTACAGCCAAAATTTCGACCTATTGAAAAACAGATTCCTACTCCTGCTTCATTCGTTTTAGAAGCAACCAATTCAAAAATTATGCAGTTCATGGAGTCAAAAACCCTTGAAACTTACTTGCATCCTTGACATCTTTCCTGGTCGTTACATCTGTCAAATACAGAGTCATCAATGGCTCGAATTCTGCATTTGAGGGTAGAGCCTTCATGATGCGATCCCTATACGCCAAAGCTGCAGCAAGATCTGTAACTGGCGGCTTCAAGTTGGGCATAATGATAGCTCTCCTGAAAATACCTGCACTGAAGGATTTCAAACAGCTCCCGTGAGCACTTCAGTCTTCAATGCAATGTTTCAGGTAAACTGCGATTATTCACAGAAGATTGAATCTGCGACATGATTGGTTTTTGGTATACACATTTCCTGTCTAAGAACACATATCCCATGGGCAAAAAGTTGCAATTAACTCAATCATGAAAACAACCCCGTCGATGTTTCATTTCCTAATTACCTTAAAGGAGCAACTGCATTCAGACCATCGCCATCCCGAAGATGAAGATGCCAGTCATCTGGCTGGATAATTGTGAGCCGCTGAATCCCGTTAGTTTGACCAGTGCCTGGCTCAACAAGAGTGCTAGCTCCTGAAGTCGAATTCATGACTGCCAGCCTCCCCTTTCCTGATCTCGGGAAGAAGCCTTCAGTAGGCACTAACGAGAACGAAGCCGCAAAAGCTCGGGGTTTAAACATTGCGGGAAGCATCACGAACTTAAAGTTGAATATATGCCGAGGCTTCAAAGCAAATAGTCGTAGAAGAATTGGATTTGGAAAAAGGAGAAAATCGTTTCCGATCAAAAGGAATCTTACGCCTCGTCTCCCAAAACCCTACAGAACACTCAACTAAAAAAATGTAATCCCACAACACTAGAATGGCTCCTACGAGAACCCTACCCCAACAAACAATCAACCCAGCTCCAAGACCAATACCTAATCCCTCAGCGCCCGAATCGCCACTTCAAACCACCACAAAACCTTCAAAGGACACGAGGGAACAGACTATACCCAGGATTGGAAACACCTGCGTCCATGGACGAAAAGCACACTCGACGACACTGCTCCATCTCCATTGTTGAATTTGCAGAGATAGATAACGACGAATACCGAATCTGCAGTCGGCGCAGCGCAGCGCCAGAATAGTGGGGCGTGGAGACAGACCCATGGACACATTTTTTTCTATACATTGCATCTTTGTGATTGTTGTCAAGTTCTTTTTGGAGTGCCATAATATTTTGTAGCTTTACAACATCTTGCTCCACTTTCAAGGTTTTATGAAATGACTCCAAATTAAGAATCTCAAATTAATTCTGTCTAATGGATTATCTTCTAGTTTGTGTATTTTTAAACTTCGTTTTCTTAGGGCAATGTGGTAATAACGGCTGAGCATGGGTTCAAGTAGGCTGAGCACGGGTTCAAGTAAAGTTTTTTTTTTTTTTTTTTTTTTTTTTTTTGCATTGCTTCTAATTAGTAAGTGGCACAGAGAGTTTTTATATTCATTAAAGATATCTTGTAGATCTACAAGGTCCAAGTTTCAAATTTTTGTAACATTGCTTTATTGCATTTATATAAATTTTACAAGTGTTTTGATTAGAACCTCTATCTAAATTTGGGTTCTTCTACCTTCTTATGGACCACACTCATGACCACTTAGTATAGAAAAAATAACAATTTTTTTTTGAATTTTTTTAAAAATTAGTTGGATAAATATTAAATTTATTTTTTTTATTTCCTTAATTTCTTACTTTCAAAGTTATCTCTTGGGAGTTATTATTTTTCCAATTGGATCAAAAGATTTTTTTGGTAAAATTAATTAAAATATTTTATAAAAAAGGCATATATTTTATCAAAAAAGCTCCTTCAATAGAACTTGGATAGAAATATTTATCACTTGAGTACATAAAATGATAATATTGTAAGTTATTTAGGATAATTGAGATAATAGAGAAATAAGGGTTTTGACAAGAAGAATGAAAATGATGCAATTGACTATTTAAAAACATGCCTTAGAAGTATAAAACTATAATTTGATATTATCTACTTTTTGGATAGCAACAAATCCATTGACATAGTTGTTGTTAGTAAAATCTCATTTAATAATTTATTTACCAACATTTCTAAGATTAGAAGTTTTTGTTTATTTTTAAAGCATTGCTATTATTTTGGATTTTGTTTATAATTTGAAGCTATTTGAAATATAGCTATTTAAGCATAAATTTAGATCTTATTTAAAATTTGAAGTTATACTTAAAAGTAGATAGTATTAAATTACAAGTTGTGTCTAAATAGTTATGCTTAAAAGAAATAGATACTATTAAATTACAAGTTGTGTTCAAATAGTTATGCTTAATTAGAAATTATATTTAAACTAGATGAATCCATATTGTTGTCACAAAAAGTGTGATTCAAATGAAGTTTTATTTATTTTTAAATATATGTTTGAGAGCTAATGAATATTTTTTAATTTTTTTAAAAATAAATAAATAAAATTTACAATCAAACTTTCAGCTAAAAATATGATAGCTAAACTTGTGCCATTGTCATGGATAATATGCAAAAAAAGTAGTTAAATTTTTTTTAAGGAATTACTTGTGAAAATTTTAAATGAAACATTTAATTACATTAAAAAATCATAAAAGTGTGTTAAGACATTTAAAGAAGTATTAAAGTCAAATTTAAAAGATATAAAGCAATTTATTGTGACATCTTTAATAAATCACTTCATTGTATGAATTCAATCTATAAATATAAAGATTTAAAATTATAAATATAAAAATATAAAGATATAAAATTATAAAATTATATAGATATTTGATAAAACTATAATATTATAAAAATATAATATTATAAAACTATAAAGATTAAATATATATGTATATATATATATATATATATATATATATATATATATATAGAGTCTTTTTATCCATAGAATATACCTTAGTAATAAGCAATTAAGATTTTATGGTTCTTGAAGAATAATTCAAAATAGTTCGAAAATATGTGGGAGTTTGGAAATCATTTTGCCTTTGTAAAAGTAATATCTAGATGGTGTGTAACATGCTATAGATAAGATATTTGTATTATTGATACATAAAAATAGATAGTTGTAACCATGTTTGAAAAGTTATGGAAGTTTTTAGAATTGGGACTAGGTTAGTGGACTATGTAGGATCCATCGTGGAACATTCTAAAAAGAGCTTAGGGCGGTTATTTAGGTCGAGCCTACCATGGAACCTTCTAGAAAGAATTTAGGACAGTTATCTAAATAAGTTCCATAATCTAAGAATATTTTAGAAAGTCTAAGGTGGTAGAACAAAGTATAAATAGGACTAGCTAGGGCCTTTTGGGCAGTTGGTTAGGTATAGCTTTGGATCTTTTCTCTTAGTAAAATTTAGTTTTGCATCTTCTTGTTTAGTTTTGTACTATTTTTGTTTGCTGAGTTTTGTCTTTCGTATCTTATTTTATTTAATTTTGTTCAATTTTATTTTGATCGATTTGATCCTACCTTATAATGAGATTTTATGTTGCTGTGGATTAAAAGGATTTTAGACTCTCGAGATAGAGTGATCCTATTTTATTGGTATCAAAGTGACTGTTAGACTATTTTTTGATAGTGTGTCAATAGTAATCATCTAGTTCAAAATTAATTTTGTAGTTACATTGGATATTGTCCTAAGGCTATCATAAGCTATTCTTAAAAAATCAACTAAAAGGTGAGAAGGCATTACAATAATAGAGTCTGATTGGAAATTACAATATGAGAGATATGACAAAGCAATCTGAGATGGAGGCTCAAATACAACATTTTTTAGGCCAAATAGCTACTGTGCATGTGCAAATAGAGTCTTCTAGGACAAAAGAATTGGCATTTGCTAGACTAAAATTGAATAAGCTAAGTACATACTCTGAGACTTCAAGGCAAGAAGATATATGTCAATGACTCTTCAACATGCAATATTACCTTCAATTATCTAAAGCAAATACCACTGAAGGAATTATATATGCAGTCAGCTGTTTGAAAGATGTAATAGCCATTTACTTGCGACATTGAGTTCAAAGCTATCGAGCTTAAGGTAGATTTTGTGATTGGGAGGAGTTTGAGACAAAGTTCAAGAATCAATTTCAACCTATTAATGTAGAGAAGATAGTACGCAATCAGTTGAAAAATCTTACACAATTTAGGTTGATGCAAGATTATGTCTTTTAATTCAAATCTCTATGTCTCCAAATTGGCAATGTTTTAAATGCGGACATGATGAATTGATTTCTATGAGATTTAAAACTTGGGATCCAGCAAAAAGTGGAACTAAGAAATCCATAAATATTTGAAGAGAAAATTAGGATTGCAAAGAATGTTAATTCTATAGATTTCAAAAATTGTGCAGCACAAATTATAATGCAAAGTCCTATGCCGCTATCTAATACTATGGTACAACAATCAACACCAATGGAGATTAATGCCTTATAAAGATCATTAATACTACAAAGACAACAAATATTGGTGCAAAAGAAATTGTATTTTTATTGTCGGGAGCCAAGCCATTAGATTGGATGTTATCTAAAATGTCAAAATTCAAGCACCAACAAAACAAAGTAAATTTTTAGTCTCAAGATTCACAAAGTCGATAATAAGACATAATAGAAAACAAGGCTTCTTAATAAAGGCACCAAAGGCAAGTACTGGAGATAGCTATTGTCTCTCAAAGACAAATGGCATAGCTTTGGACAACTATAAAAAGAGTCGACTAATACATCCAATGAGACTACTAAGAGGACAACTATGTTGAGGGCTTGTAGATTGTGACTCTACAGAAAATTGTATCTTGGTTGAAATTACTGACTTACTTGGGATTAAAAACAAGGTAATCAAAAGAGGGAGTGTATACCTTACAAATGACTGAAAAAATATATTGAATGAAATATGTGAAGAAGAAACCTTGAGGTTGACTGACACCTAAGTCTTAAGAGAGAAGTTCAAGGTAACAAAGCTAAGATATGATGTTATTCTTGATATGCCATGGCTAGAGATGGAAAATATGTAAATTAATTAAGTAGCAAGGACAATCTTCTTTAAAGATGGTGGACACAAGGTAACTCTTTATACTTCCACACTACGTAAAGAGAAAAAATAATATGCAGTTAAAGACTTACTTATAGAAATAACCTTTATGAAGAAGCAAATAGGGCATAAGCAATTAGTATATATGGTGGTTTTAAATCTTGTGTTAGTGGCAGAAAAGATAGCCAAAAGAGTAAAATGGATAGAGCACTTCATAGAAGAATATCACAATTTCTTTTCAACCGACTTACCTAATGGCATGTCTTATTATCAAGGTGCTTTGTTTCAAATAAAACTATTGCTTGGAGCCAAATCAAGAAGTAAGCAAATATATCTTCTAGCACCAAATGATCTTGAAGAGCTGCGAAAGATATTGAATGAACTCTTAGAGAAGGGCTTTATTCAAGAAAGTACATCACCATGGAGAGCACTTGTACTCTTTGCACCGAAGAAGGATGGTACACTTTGGTTTTGCATTGACTATCAAGGCCTCATTAAGCAAACTGTTAAGAATGCATATTGTTGTTCTCATTGTGTTCAAGCTTCAATATACCAAAGCAATTGAACTAATAGAGGTCAGTTTGAATACGAGAAAAGACTTGTTATATAAATTGGATTTGTTAGTGTCACAATTGACTATACTTTAGCTATCTGAAATCAATTATCAAACTACAAAACACCAAGGTTTACTACTTCCATCTTAATTCAACCCATAATCCATTCTACGACTATCAATTCAATAATACTTCCATATTCTTATTCGTTCATCTCCCACTTACTCTCTTTGAGGTTTATATATATTAAATTACTGATCTCCATCTTACCTATTGTATTCAGTTTTTCAATTCATCACACAAAATTCAATATCTCCACTTAAGACTCTCACAGTTTGGCTCCGATCTCTCTTTCTTCAACCTCTTTATCCTACCAAAAAGATGATCCGTCGGCCAACGGATTCCAAAGGTTATGACCCTTTGAATTCTTAACTATTTATTCTACTAAGAACCTACTGTTATCAACTAAATTGCCTAACCATTAGTCTAATTCTCAAGGTTATCAATAATCAACCAGTAACTTACTACAAAG